AATATGGGCCTTTATTTCAGGGAAAAGTTTGAAATTATTAAAGTAACTTTGCAATTTCTGAAAAGTAATTTAGCCCCAGCTTGCTTTCCAGCTTTTCAATTACAAACCTAATTCATTGTCCATATGTACTATCTGTTCTTATGTGTGCCTATGCATGTATGAACACCTAAATATGTTTGTGCGTGTGTGTGTGTGTATACATATTATATATATATATATATACAGAGAGAGAGAGATAAATGTCTGCAGATACATAGAGATCAAATATTGAAATCTATACAAGTTCTTACATTGCTCTCCATAACCCTTCCTGCCTCAAAACACACACACCATATGTTTATTTCTTCTCCATAGGTTTTCATCATACTGGTCTATCGTGGTAATATTCATCCCCTTTGTAGGATTATTAAGCATTTTTTGACCTTTATATATAAAGGAATTCCAAGCCTTTCTCCTGGGCCCTCTTCCATTCCCACGAGTTCGATTATTATCTCTTTATATGTGACTTACAAAAACCTACATATCCAGGCTTTATACTTCTCCTGATCCCTAGTCCCATGCTTCTAAATATCTATTGCATTTCTCCACATAGATCAATATCTTAAACTCACTCAATTTAACCAAACCTTAACTCGTTATCTTTTTCTTGGACTCATCTCTCTCCCAATTTCCCTGTTTCTATAGAAAGTACCGCCTCTCCTCCAGTCACCTAGGCTGATTATCTGGAGAGCATGTCCAGCATTTTACCCTCATGCACCTCCTCACACCTCATCCCTAGCCGCCTCATCGAGGGCAAGTCCAAACAAGGAAAGTTTCACAGCATCTCTCCCACCCACCTCCTTCTTTCTATTCCACACCAGTCACCCTAGTTCAGGCTTATCACCTCTCACCTGGACATTTACCTCCTAACTCATATACACATGTACATATGTGTCCCCTTGCATCTAGTCTCTCTCCTGTCTGATCCATTCTTCACATATAGCATTAGTATGACCATGTCACTCTCCTGCTTAAGAAGCTTCAGTGACTGCTTGTTTCCTCTCACATAACACACAAACTCATTACGGCATTTAAAGCACTTTACAATTTGACTCCATCTTATATTTCCAGGCTGATTACTCATTATTCCCTCTCATGTGCTCCGTGTCCTAGCCAAACGGGTCTATTCACTACTCATAATTCATGAAATTCCATCCCTTGCCCTCTTACTGCTTTTTGCACAGGCTACAACCTCCCTTTCTAGAATGTCCTCCTTTCTTATTTCTGTCTCTTGGAACCCCTAGCTTATCTCAAGGCTTAGATTAAGTACAACCTCATTCAAGACTGTATTATTCCAATCACTTTCACACACACACACACACATGCACATATATGTGTATGTATCTACATACACACATATATACATATGTATGTGTGTACATATACATACATATGCAAATATATGTATATGTGTGTATATCTCATGAGTAACCTCCCTCTGTTCCCCAGGAGGATGTAATCTCCTTGATATCAGGTAACGTTTTACATTTGTATCTATAGGGAAGTGGCTAGTTCATGAAAAATAATTTTAGGAAAATAAAGGAGCAAGGCTGACTTAGGTGAAATGAATGAAACATCATTCAACTCTGATAGAAATTAATCCATTGAAATGACTTTATTTCTATGTATGTTTTTAATAGTATACCCACAATTGGCATGTAGGACTTTGATTTTGCCAAAAATTTTTTTTCTTTTTCTTTTTTTTTTTTTGTTTTAGGCAACTGGGGTTAAGTGACTTGCCCAGGGTCACACAGCTAGTAAGTATCAAGTGTTTGGTCTGAGGCCGGATTTTTACTCAGGTCCTCCTGATGTCAGGGCCAGTGCTCTATCCACTGCGCCACCTAGCTGCTCTGATTTTGCCAAATACTTTAAAGCAAAGTTGTGGTACTTCCATTACACCTCACCAACAATAATCATTTTTTGCTACAACATTCAATCTTGAAAGCAGTGGGATACAATGGAAAGAGTATTATCTCTAGACCTGGATTTAAACCCCTACTGTGATGCTTACTTTTTGAACTTGGGTGAGTTATTTGTTGGCCAAGCTGCCTTCTCACCTAGGAATTTCTGTCTGTGCCTGGGGCCTTCTTATCCTGAAAAATCTCTCCACCATGCCAGGCCACTTCTCCTATTGCTGAGTTTCTTCCAGGGGATTCCAATTCCCTCCTGAATATGATTCTGACTTTCTTTAGACTTGCCACCATGACTAAGTTGACTTCTCGCACTGGAACTTTCCTTTGTGTATGTGGGGCCTTGTAACACTAAAACATCCTTTGGTCATAATCTGACCCCCTTTTCCCATTGGTGAGTTCTTTCTGGGTGCCTCCACTGTAAAGACAGGCCCACAATGGCCATGCTTCATTCACCTCCTGGCTATGATTATGACTAAGAACTTTGCTACCTCTTCCTCCATGTAGTAAGTCTCTTCCTCCCCCTCTCCCAAACTCTCACTTTTCAGCTCCCTTTTATGTTGTCTTCTTCCATTAGACTGTAAGCTCTTTGAGAACAGGAGCTCTCTTTCTGCCTGTATTTGTATCCCCTGCACTTAGCAGCATAGTACTTGGCACACAGTGAGAGCTTAATGAATATCTGTTACCTGAAGGGAGCTTAGTGGCCTCTGAGGTGCCTGTCAGCTCTGGATCTGTGATCATATGGTACATTCCTTTCAATTTGTATGATGACATTACAAAGTCAAAATACTGGAAGGTCTTTAAAGATTTCAAAAATACCATCAAACATATTAAAAGAGAATCATTGCACTGTGTGACGAATACTGGCCTGGGAGTTAGAAAATCTAGGTTGTGGTAATCTGTCACAAACTTACGTATGCTTGAAGAAAATGACCTCTCTAGGTTTCAATTCCTTCACTTATATAAATATAATAATAATAATAATAATAATAATATAATAATAATAATAATAATAATAATAAAAAATATCTGTATAGCACTTTGCCTTTTTTTACAAAGTTTTTACAAACTTTTCAAAGTTTACAAAGGACTTCACATATAGTTAATGTAATATAGGATATATGTAATATAATATGTACATAATATGCATATTTACATATAGTTGTACATATATTTATAATGAATGGATTATACTAGACCATCCCTCCCACCACTAACATTTCATGACATATTTTATGAAAGCCTAAAAAGCATTCACATTCTAGCAAGTGCTCTTCCATGAGCTGTTTGTTCCATGTGCAATCAAAGTAACACTTTGGGTGAAACTCAGTTTACTAAAAGCCATGATCAAAGTCCTATGAGAAACGATATAAACCTAACATATCTTTCTCTCACAAGGGTCTTACATGACCAATGAGAGTATTATTGAATAGGGGAACGGAAATGAAGCTGGCATCTGTCATGCAGATGTAGAGCTCTGAGCAAAGCTAGCCTAGTTAAAGCTGATATCTTCTGCCAGCACCGGGTGCCCTCAAAGGGAGGCCACCAAGAAATTCAGCTCCAGAAGGTTGGGCCTTGGATCAGATGGCATCAGATATCAGATCCTCTTTTGGCAGCACTCCGTGCCAATGTCCACATCTATTAAATCTATTTACTAAACAGTCTCATTATCTATTTCTTGTCGGGATTTCTTTAGGGTGTGGTGGAATTGGACAGATGGGTTGAAAGCCTTCCTTCAGGCACGGTATACACAGGATTGGACAGATGGGTTCGAAGAAGCTACCTCGAGGCCTGGAACACACAGGCAAAGGAGAAAAACCACCACCATTTTCTATAAAAGAGGGTTTTTTAAATAGTAGAGAATATGGTAAACAAAGAGAAGAGAATTGATATCACAAGTTAAAATAGCAAAGTAATAGAACATTACTCTTCAGGAACCATCTATGACAACTTGGTGACATATGTCACCTTCACTACAGAAGATCACATTCATTAAGCAAGCAGCATGGGACAACACTATGTAATTCCAAGAACCTATATATGATTTGTGAGTAGGGACAGCTTTACATAAGGGCAGAATATATATGTCTGAAGTGATTTAGCCCAAAAGTCCCATTTTCTATCTTCTGCGATTTTCTTTTACCTACCTCATATTCCCACCACTAGAGATTTATTCTTTTGGGTTAACTAATTTCTGTCTCCGAGAGTCCTCTTTTAATAAGCAACTATTCTCTGGAGGAGAAATCCATTAAAGAATTAACATTATATCCATGAATTAATTTCTCTAAGAATTAAAAAATAGATAGTCACATACATGAGAAAAGATGCGGTAAAAGGTCATAATAACAGGAATAATAGCTTATGTTTAAATAGAATTTATGGTTGGCAAGCTTTCTGTGCAACTATTATTGTCTCCATTTTATAAGTGAGGAAATGGAAGCATGGAGAGATTTTATGTAGAAAACCAAGATATGGAATTTATACCCTTCTGATGACAAGGCCAGTGCTCTTTTTTTTTAACTTGATTACTATTACATTATCACTATATCCTAGAATCATGTGATTTAGAAACTTTAGAAAAGATGTAGTCTGACTCTCATTTTACAGGTGAGGAAACTGAGACCTGGAGGGGAAAATAGGACAGCTAGGATTATGTCAGTTCCTCTGACTCTAAATCCATTTATTTTACCACTATACGAGAGAATGGGACAGAAAGTGAGTGTCATGCAAGCCTAGTATAGAGCAATTCATGGCAAGAAAGCCCTGAACACACTGATAGTCCTGGGTACATATGATCAGAGTGTAAATGAATGAGAGAATGTGGATGAGGAAAAGGGAAGTGGGAGTTCAAGGCTGGCAAGCTGCTTATGTCATGATTTTGCCTAGGGCTAGTCCTGTTTATGAACTGACTTATTTCCCTAGTCCTCAAAAAAAAAAAATCAATCCAACACGTGATTTAATATGGGACTAACTATTTCCCAGATTCCTCAACTTCAAAGCATGATTTGGCTACACTCCCCAAATCCCTGGCAATCTTTATATAAATCTTACCGACTTTCAGTTCACCACCTGCAACAATAATACAAGTTGCATTTAAAATGTTGCTCCGGTTCACAGGAAATTCTAGGGTTCCCAGAATATAGAGGCCTTTGAGAAAAGGAAGATCGGTGTCTACAAGGATGGTCCTGTCTGAGGAAGAAAAGATAGAAATCACTTAGAACCATGAGAAATGAGAAGAATCATCAGCCACTGCCCCCTCCTCACCCCGCTCCAGACAAACTTTATAAGGCCACCTACGAGCTCATTGGAACGCTTTTCTTTCTTTCTTTTTAAAAGAACCTTTGCTGATGACTTTTCATTTTATTTCACAGTCATTCTGGACACACCCCATCACATACTTGCAATCAGCTCTCATTATATGAATGAATATACATTAAGCAACACCAACTGACATGGTGACTGTGTCTGATGGTGCAGAGAATATTTGGTACCCTTCTTCCCCTCTCTCCACCAAAAGGAAGTCAGCTGCCTTTCATCATCTGCTCTCCAGGGCCAAGATTGGTCACATGATACTTTTTTTAGGACTTCTGTGACACTCAAGTGTCACATGTGTGATAGGTTTGTTTGGTTTCCTTTAATTTTTTTCTTTTCCCAAAGAAGAACCTTTTTCTTGAAAAGTTAGGAGAAAACATGGTATAAAGGGGAAATGGGCTAGATTTTTAGTCAGATGACCTGGATTCATAAGCTATCTCTGGCACCTTTATCTGTGTGACCTAGAAAAAGCCATTTAGCTTCCCTGTGACTCAGTTTCCTCATCTGTAAAATGAGGATCAATCAATAAACATTTATTAAGCACCTACACTGTGTTAAACACTAAGGATACAAAAAGAAGCAAAAGATAGTTCCTGCCCTCAAGGAGATTACAGTCTAATGGGGAATGATAATAATAGAGTTGTTATAAGCATTAAATAGCTAATATTTATAAAGCACTTTGCAAACCTTAAAGGGATATATAAATTCTAGCTATTATTCATTATTTTTATTATCACTGTCATCATTATTATTAATTCATTAAAGGAACTTTATTAGTAAAAACACACCCCTCCAAAAAAAATGTGACCTAGAGTAAGTTATGTAGGGATACAAAAAGAAGAAAAAGACAATCCCTGCCCTCAAGGAGCTTATAATATAATGGGGATGATAATAATGGAATTGTTGTAGGGATCAAAAGAGATAATATTTGTAAAGCACTGTGCAAACCTTAAAGTGCTATGTAAACTCTAGCTATTATTTATTATTATCATTACTATTATTAATTCATTAAAGGAATTTAATTAGCAAAAAATACAGCAAAAATAGTGTGAACTACAAGTCATTTGAGGATACAAAATGTGTCAGCTAATTCAGCAAAGGGATTTTATTAGTAAAAATACAAAACTAAATCAATAGTTAATAAACACTTTATAACTGTTTAACATGAATAGTGCACAAAATAATTTCATGCTAACACATAATTGGCTTGTACTTAAATTTAAACCCACAGACGTATTCACTGTCCTTTTTCATTGTTTCACTTCAAATCGAGTCTATTTCTTTTTTAATCTCCTGGAGCGCTGGTGCAGCTCATGGGGATCCCTACCACACCTGTTCTTCATTTCCTCTTTCATCTCAGCAGCTTCCTTATAACTTCAGTAGCTAGAACTTGTACTCATTGACTTTGTAGCAAGTTACAGTGCAGCGAATGATGAATAATGGATATGTATTTTAAAACAATGTCAATATTTCATGGACTCTAAAGTACTACTCTCTGAAGTCTGTTGTAATTCAACAAGAATCAAGGATTCGGAGTAAGTTTGCCTGTGAAAACCTAGTACTTAAAATCATCAACATCTGCAAGGCTTTTTCAGTAGTGATCATGTTGCCTTAAACCTAATTCTTACTTCAATGAACATTTTTTTCTCTTTAAAAATTTTTATGTAACTCCCTGTGTATATTAGCTTTCCATGAATTATTTCTCAATAGCTTTATTGGTTCTTTGGCATTTTAAAAAGCACTATACTTTCTCTTTTCTTACTAAAATTCACAAGATTTTTAGTAATTGATAGGAATTTACCAAATGATAGGAAGTTACCAAAAAGGCTCATATTGAAGAAAAATCTTTCATTTTCTCCCCTCCTTGCTTCATAAGATCAAATGTGGGGCTAAAAAGGACTCTGGAGGCCTTCTTTTCCAACTTCCTCCTCTTATAAAGGGGTAACCAAAGAGGTTAAGTGGCTTTTCCAAGGTCACACACATTATAGGTGTTAGATGTAAGATCCAAACCCAGATCCTGGCTCCAGACCTAGTGTCCAGAAAACATTAAGTCACTGGATAGAGAAGAGGGATGACTGGCAGGATCTGCCTGGCTAGTACTGATAATGGCTATACAGATACATGGGCAGCAGAGTTGGACCTAAACAATGAATCTAAGCTTTGTGGCAGGCTCCATAGAGGAAGACTAGTTCTAAATTTAAAGACTGCATTTGTTTGAAGACCTCTACCATTACAACTTGTTTTACAGTTGCCTCTGAGTTCAGCCTAGCCAGGAAAGCTGACCTCTCTCCTTTCTGACTTTTGACCTATCTTATTGACCACACATCTATCTCTTCTTCCTGATACTCAGCATTGATTTCTGCCCCCTACAATCTACCCCCTTCATTCCTGGTTTGGCTGTTTCTCTTCCTTCACTGAACTATCCTCATTTCTATTTTGACTTGGATATACTGGCCTCTGACCACATATCATCTAAACCCTAGCCTCAGTAGCCAATTACATTACCAACATATTGTCCGAAGCCTCCTGCTGTATTCTCATGTGCCCATTATGAACAATAGCCAGCCTAACTATTAACTCAGTCAAAGTGGGACAGACCAAGTGCAAACCCAAGCAACAGCATGCCTTCACTGAAACTATTATGGCAATACAGGAGCAATCAGTCAGAACAACTTATTAGCAAAATTCATTTATAGAATATACATCAGAAAAACTCAGCAGCACCAGATGAATGATTAATCATTAGGGAATATACTTTTGTTTTAGTCACAGCAACTCAAAACTATCTACTAAGGTATGGAGGGGGTTTAATGTTCATGAGAGCAGGGAGTCACCACACGAATGAAATCACAGCTCCTCAACATATTTGGAAGTATAAGCATATTAAAAGGAAGAATTGACAGTAAAAGTCAAGGTGCCCACCATGTTGCTATTACCACTGCTTAGTCACAGCATTTTACTATGTCAGTGACCAATCCTTCCTCCTTAGACCAATCCTTTCTCCTTAAGGAATTGAGTATTGGCATATGGAGGGAACCATCTGGGCTTTCTGTGACTCAATGGGAGGCTGATGAGGGAGATGATCTGGAAAGGGGCTAGCAAAAGAACTAATGAGCTCCAGATGTAATTAAAGACTGACGCTCACCCTAAGGGGCTCAGGACAGGACATGTTGCCTCTTGGTTCTAAATCACACCCTCTTACCAGTTGATCAATCCATCACACAATAAATAACCAATCTCTTTCCCTACCATCTTTTGCATTCCCTTTCCAATGTTTCTTTGGGTTTTTGCCAGAAAGGCTATGCCTGACAGAGGGGTAACCTTTGGGGTAAGGAGGAGGAGAATAAAAATGCAATTTTAATACCTAGCAAATTGAATAATTACTGCAGTTTACCAATTATTCATCTACCATATGCAAGAGGAAAGGCAAAAAATGACATAGCACCCTTGACTCTGGATCTAAAGACAGGAAGATCTGGGTTCTCAGATACAAGTTCTGTGAGTCTGTACAAGTCACTTAACCTATCTCACCTTTAATTTTGCCACCAGTAAAATGGATATAATTATGGCAGCTATAAAGGGTACTTGTGAGGACCAAACAATATAAAGTACTACACAAACCTTAAATTTCTGTATCAATATTAGCTGTTATTTATTATTATTACTACCATTATTATCATTACGATATCAACCAAAACCAGAAGCATTTGTTCTTTAACAGACAACCTAGCTATAACAACATCAACCTCCATGTAATCTGGAATAGATCATTGTCCAAAACTGCAGACCATGAATGTGTGTCTCACACATAACTATCTAACAAGTTACCACTGGAGATGTCTCTCAGAAGTCCACAGCCTCTTTTAGGATGGAAGTCATTTGGACACTCTAGTAACAAAGAACTCAATATAGTCTCCACATTAGGCTTAAACTCATTTCTTCTTTCAACCAAGTTGGGAATCAAGGTCACTATTGTGCAACATTCCAAGAGTCTGACACTTCCCTAAATCTTGTTGTAATGGGATCAAGGGCAAAGGGCACAGAGCCTGGGAATAATGATAGGGTCACATGTACATGCATAATTCAGTGCAGTCTTACTGTTTATATGGCAGTCAATGGAGTTAATAAGCTCCATAACTTAGGTAGAAAAGCACTTTCTACTACAACCGTTCTATTGTCCTTGATGTATTCTAAGTCCCATCTTAACACAGGAACAGAGAGCTCTGAATACCAAATGAAAGTTACAAAATGCAGGACTAATTATAATTATCAGTCGTTCAGAATTTCCTGAAATTTCTTTGTACAAAGTAAAAAATGTCAGAATTTTTTACTGATCCAAGTTTCAGGGTTTTTCATTTTTGTTTTTGGTTAGTGCATATTAGAAAAAAGTTACAATGTTTCAAGTGACTAAAAAATTACAAGGTTTTTTCTTTCAAAATACTGTTTCTCTTTTTGAACTGAAAAGAAACTTCATAAAAATAATTTTCACACTGAGAGTCGGGGTATGTTGTTGCCTCTGGAGGAGACATCTCTTGTTAGAGCAGTGGTTCTTATCCTAAGGTTTGTGAGTACATGCATGAGTATATGAGTTTGTATGCATGTATGTATCTATATGCACATATATGTGTATATTCACCTGTGGATACATACATACATACGTGTATATGGACCTCTAAGTTCCTATGCCTGCACATATGTATATATGTGCATATTTCCATACATGTATATACACATGTACAAGTTTAGATATATGTTGATAATTGCATTTCAATATCATTGGTTTCCTTTGTAATCCTGTGTATTTTTTTTGTGCCTTTAAAATCATTCCAAGAGGAGGTTTCATCAGACTACCAAAAAAATTTAAGAACCCCTGCTTT